AGTTTAAGTGATGGGAAATCTTTTTTGCGAAAAAGATTATATATTGCATTAAAGATTATATATTGCATTAGCATTTGTAGTATAACGATAGTTTTTTTCTTGTTTTATTCAGTTAGAGTGCATCCAATATATCTGAAACATGTAAAAAATTGCCTAAATTTGCACTAATTAACATTTCATGGTTTTGATGAAAGCCCTCTCATAGAAAAATACTGTAATATTAATTTTAAAAACTTTTTACGCAATCAGCTTGGGATTTTTGAAAAAGCTTTTCCATGTGCACATTTAGTAGCAACGTATTGACGTCCGTTTGCAGCAGTGCATGACTTTGAGAATTAATGAGTTTTATGTAATTTTGCTTAATTTGTCCTTATTTTTAATGTGAATTCACTTTCATTCAATAGAACCTGTTCCTCAGCATTTATAAAAACAGCATCTCAAACGTACAATAAGGTTTTAACAGTCTTGTTTCGAGAACGATTACAGGTGCCATAATAATTATCTAATCAGCGGATATAGGTCTACACTATACTCCGCTTTAAATCCCCGGGGGGGTTACTCGACGCCGTTTTGGATAGGTACGTGCCGCCAGCGGTCTAAAACCCTGATCCTGTTTTTAAAAGACACTAGAAAGTGAAAATTCATACCCTGTTCAAGAAAAATCGGAAAAATACGGAATCGCTATCTACGCCGCAACCATCAAAACTGCAATTAAACTGACATCCATCAAAGACTATAAGACGTTTTTGATAACACGTTAATCCTGCTACAGTGAAACGGTATTTCTTATGAAAATGTTACCCTGTCCAAGACACACAAAAAAATTATATCGGTATTTATCTAAATTGTAGAGCCTGTTTAAGACAATTTCGGGTGAAATGTATACCCTGTTTAAGACAGCAAGGCCAAAAACCATACCCTGGCCAGCGGCACGTCCCCGTATAGCAAATATATGGGAGTACCCCCCCCCCTTCCCGGGTTTAAATCCGCCGTTTCTCGCATGATAAAATAGCACAACAGTGGATTCAAAATATATCCGCGTACTCTAGTGTGATGTGTAGTACTTACCTTTAGCACTAGCGAAGACTATCAAGTACTCGATGAAAACCTGCGAAAAGGAATTAAATGACTTTTCCATGAAAAGAAATGACTAAAACAAATTGCCTTAATGTGAAATTATCAAGTTTTCACTTGACTATTATTATCTGGAATGTCAGTCTCCATGCAAATGAATTTGAATTTCTTTTCAATTCTATCGTTCAATGGTTCTTACTGTTAATCTTGAAATATTTACTCCTCTGACTTGGGTGTACTCGACTTTTGGAGCTCATCCTAATTTAATTAAACTAATGGGCAAGCATTACCAAAGACTTAATATCTTCTTGGGAACAACTTGATTTGAAGAACGCTTTCCAAAATAAAAGATTGGCATGGACATAATGAGTGTTCTCAAAATTTGTCGAAAAGATTTGTCGTCACATTTAGGCCTTCTCCACTCGTACCCGGATTTTTTTCGTATACACATGTACATATCCATTTATTTTAGCTTTTTCTGAAGAAATATATCAACTTTACAATGGCAGGAAATACAAAAAGGTAATCATTTCTCGCACTGCTTTAAGAATCATCACAGTTTACTCCGTCTATATTCATTTTGATATACAAGCAGAAAGTAAAAGAAAAAGAAAATTGTACAACTTTTGCTAAGTTTACACGTTCAAACTATACTGAGTATAAATGTGATGCTCGAACTAACAACTAATGAGACACTCACATGCGATAAAACGTACAGACATAGCGCTCTAACATACAGAGTGCTATACTTTATTGTTTACAAGTAAATAAAGCAGAGCGACGTTATATTTGGAAAGTAAGGACCTACTTGAAGCTTCTGGCTTTTAAAAATGGTTCTTTTTCGAAGGATTCTTAATAATAAAAATTTAAGTCTGACAAGTTCATAAATTTTGAATAGTATGATACATGGGGTTTTACTGTGATGTGCTTCATTTTGTTATAGTGCTCCATCCTTACACTGTGATAAATATACAAAGTCAACTCGCAAAAACTTACCACAAAATAAGAAGACAGCAAGGATTGCCAAACCTTTAACCGCATCTTGACTACAATCGATGAATGGCCGTCGACAAGTTGTTTGGTTTGGAATTATAAATGGTTATAGAAGTAATGAAATATTGATAGCACCCTTAACATCTGCTAAATCATCCCGGTTTGATACTGCTGCATTTCAAATTTTGTCGTTCGGTTCGTTTTTCTTTTGTATTTTGTATTATGTATAGAGGAACCGAGGTGTGGTTTAACCAAAAAAGCACTTTTAGTAATCAACACCGGATACCAGTGTACGCTGTAGTGTACTGTACTGTACGCTTGATTAGCACATTTGTAGGAAAACATTTATCAAAAAGCATTTACTAGTCGGAAAATTCGTAAAAATTTAACTTTTCACCGTATCAAGTGTTTATAGAAATAGTTACTGCTTTTTGAGTGATATCTCGATGAAACGCTCGAATGCCGCCTAAAAGGCAAATTTTGAAGTTATTCCTTCTCGAAAAAGATKAGAGTCGCTCAAAGTGCGCATGTGGTTGAAGACGGGCCGGAGTAACCACAAAAAATATTTGGAAAATAATCATATATAGCTTGTGTAGGTCCTAGTAGTCGTGCTCTCCTTTTTTTCCTGTGTCRTCATGATTATATAAAGTGTGCATTCAATATATCTGTGGAATACCTTATTTGCTAACAAAATTGCAGGAATAATGATACAAAATCCTTTTCCCTTGATTGTCTAATTAGGACAAGTTTGCACAATTTCTTAATTACAAAGTGTTTTAACATGTTCAATCGCGCTCTCTGGTTGACTGTGTTCGTTAGTTGATGTTCAGTATTAATTCACGGCTCAAAACGAACTACAGCTATTTTGAAAGCAAGACCCTCATTTTTTTGGGAAAAAAATCAATGGAAGATGCAGAGAAAGAATTATCAATTTAGAGAGTTCGTGCCCGATCGTAACTATATTTCTACTGTCCACTAATAATAAAGGTCAGTCAGTAAGTATACAATTAAGCGTGCACAAAGTCAAAAAACGTAATTCGGATTTTTCTCGGAGCGATAATTCAGTTTCCAGTTCTTTTTTGTTAAGAGTTCTGTTTTGTTCAACCTGGAATTTTTTTTACGGTAGCAAGATTTTCACAATGGAATGACGGTGTAGTATTCTTGTCTTAACGATATCAAAGCTTCATGGTGTACTTTGCTGCATCAACCTTGCTGTTTAATAAAGTAAAACCTAGCTTTCGACCTACGCGGTCATCTTCAGGGTTACAATGTATCTCGTTACAATAACATAAAAACTTTACCATCGAAACAAAGAGCGCGTGCATTTAATTAATCGCCTAGCAATTTTAGGTAACTAAAAGGTAGAGTACTGTGTTAAATAAAATGTCCAAAGCTATCAATTATGTCACTGTCTATAGATCATTTGTGAAAATTTTCCCAACCGGCTCATAGTAATAGAAGYTCTGTCGAGCTTTGGACTCCCCTTCCAATGACGTCACGTTGTTCATTTCGCAGGTACGGGTCACGTGATTGTAGTTGATAGACTTGCAGAGCAAGTTCGCCTCGCAGTAGCTTATGCACAAGTACAAATCATCAACTGAAGTTTCGGTATAAACCGCATATTGTCTCGATAGTGGCAGGCTATTCGGTGAATTTCCGTAGAATACCTCTTTTATCTTCCAAGTGCCATCTGGAATAAAATATGATATCATTTTCCGCATTTGTCAATATGTAAGCATCCCCTTAAAAAACCTCGATGTTTTATAATGATCTCATCATTTATCAAAATTGACTGTGCTTTTACCAGATAATCAAGTCTTTAAAAATCTCAAAACAACTCAAAGCGTTTTAGAAATAACTGGCCTGCTCAAACAGTCATGTTTATGATCTGCAATTAACGAGTATTGATATAGATTTGTAAGAGGTACCCTATTATGGCTATAACATTTTAATATTACTTTTTGCCGTTGCTAGTTTTCAAGCTCTCGAGTTTAAAAACAAATCACAATAATAGTGGCAGCCACAAAATGAACTGAAATTTCAGAATATAAAGAGAATTATCTTACTGCGGTTTTCCGTTTTCTTCGAACTCTATCACTGCGAACGTTAACGGAAAACCGCATTAAGATAAATCTATAAACATTACTGCCAGTATTTACCAGTCTCGTATACTGCATTGTTGTCTTTGGTACAGTTACATGTAAAAGGGTCTGCTTTGCCATATCGACCGTAGCTAACTCCACATGTGCAACGGCTGYCATTTTGTACAGCGGCATAAGCATATCCACTTGATTGACAAATCTTGAGACATCGATTAGTGCTTGCTGTTGTTTCCAGACCCCATAAATCACGCGGTACACTTTCTTTATAACAACCCAGGAATCTAGCGTAATGTGGAACTGTAACAAATGATATAGAAAATCCAGTCAGCTTACAAACATCGAACCGTGCAGTTAACCGGGTGTCTGTAAAACACGGAACACCACCGGAACACCCCGGAACACCCCGGAACACCCCGGAACACCCCGGAACACCCCGGAACACCCCGGAACACCCCGGAACACCCCAGAACACCGCCGGAACACCCCCGGAACATCTCGGAACACCAAAAATAAAAATAATGATAACAAATGAAATAAAGTGTGTTTACTTTTAATTCATCGATCAATTACTTGACCAATGAACATGAACAAGGTACTATGGATATAGAATAACAGAATTCGATTGACGTTAATGTTAATGTTTCTACGGAGCTTGGTGGTCAAGTTTTTTCTTTTTTTGTGACAAGTCAATCAGAATAATAAAAGGGGGCTTTCGACCTAATCTAAAACGACTGCATTTTAAAACACGAAATCTGTGTGTGTTTATCTAAACCTTATCAGCCTTATAGACCAAGCTCCTTCTTGATAAGGTCCTTATGGCTTTGAACAAGACAACAACTAATGTCAGGAGGACATATGCAAAAGTGAGGAATAAAATAGGGCTGTTTCTTTCTAATGCATTTCTCATTGCAGTGGAAATAAACATTAGAAATTTTGGACTGCCTATCCCCATTAGCGTTGGTGAATTCTCTGTTCATCTTTGACACGATGACTAGGTCGTACGGTGCTGCGCCAATGTCACCGTTGGGCTTAAGATATTGCATACACCCGTAGCATTTAGCCACCTGTGATGRGCAATACTGGAGCAGGYATATGCAGAACACACCAGGTTGTGGATCTGGATGTTTGGGTTTTTCTGCTGTTGTGACCGCAACTCGAGGTGTCCTTGAGGTGGCGAGAGATGATATTCCATGGGCCGGGTTCCACGATGACGGTGCTGAACAGTTTGGTGTCGATTGGGGTGCAGGAATGAAGGATGATGCTCCATAGGTTTGATTCCACGATGACGGTGCTGAACGGTTTGGTGTCGATTGGGGTGCAGGAAYGAACGATGATTTAGTTTTTAGTTTATGTACAGTTCATTTTATATTCTACTTATGTTATTATTATTATTTTTTTGGGGGGGTGTTCCGGCCGTTTTCCGTCATGTTCCGGGGTGTTCCGGCGGTGTTCCGGGGTGTTCCGTGTTTTACAGACACCCCAGTTAACCAGACAATCAGCCCAAGAAAACAGCTAGTGTAAATATTTGCTTTGTTAAAAACGATAATATTTATAATACCTATGCAGTAAACAGCATTTCTCCAATGTCCACCACAAGTGAGGGATGAGTCTCCMYTGCAAGGCAAGCTACAATCTCCATCGGGTTTCTTTTGGTATTTACCGTATTTATTAGCACATGCACAACCACKTCTATATTGTAAGCCCGCAAATAAAAACCCAAGCGTGGAACATCTGCAGATTATTARTAAGATACTAAAMCGCTAGTCTGTCAATCACTAATTTAATGTGTGTTTTGCAGRGGTGGATACCGTGGATGTCCATTSGTGCACATAAAAATATCTACTTTTAGTAGCGCGTCATATATAGTATTTTTTTAAAAGAATGGATCTCTATGACTTAATATGTCATTTCTTGTACACCTCGGGCGCATTTCTGTCTGTATTTAGCCTACACTTTTATATTCTAAATGCACTAATCGGAAATACTCATAATAACTGAAAGTCAGTCGGGTTATATATCTTTAGATATGTTTATCGAAGCTMTTAGATCGTCTTGGACATTTTTTGTTCTAGTAAGCTGATGATAAATGGTGTTTTTCACTTTAAAAACGCCCTTTAGCTTTAAAWATCAGTCTCACAGATGTCAGYCTTTCTTACTTGCTTTGATTTTACCTTGCTAAACACTGTGACGGAGTGTTAGTGTTGCTGCTCTTGGTATCCCCCATGTCACGTTCGGATCCTCCGCGATCCTCATAGCATCCAAGCTTCAGTGATGGGAAATCTCCGTGAAAAATACAAAGATATATCTTTATGTATYGTATGTGCATATTTGGAATATGGTAGTGATTTTGTAGATGATTTTCTGTACATAAAACAGTCACAAGAGACTGAAACTTCTATTKAAGAAGAGTGAAAATACTCAATGTTGGATCTAGGCTATCACAAAAAAAGATTTCAGTTTTTGCCATTAGTTTTCTAATTATGTCACATATCACATTTAATTTTGTTGCGGAGACTACATTTTTGTTGCGGAGACATTTTTAAAAGAAATCTTCTCAATGTGGTTAAAAAATGTTTGCCTGTTGTAAATAAAACAAACATAGAATTTTTTATTGAACTTCTACATTTTATTTTATTTTTTAAAGTGTATTAGTAACTATGCATATTAGACTGCTAATTATTACTATGGGCTTCCTGTGGTAGGAATCTAAGCATTTGTAGTTACTTAAAATATAAGGGTATTTCATTGAAAATTCTAAACTACAATGTCTACAAGCACTGAAAGAAGTAGAAAATACACTGRATTTCATTTCTCCAGTACTTGTACTTTGATAATGATATTACCTACTGAACATCATGACCTGAAATATTTTAACTTATCTGAGCTCTTTGCTCATTATGTTATTTCACTGAGGACATTGCTGTTATGCTATTTTAGGTCAAATACAATTCTGCAATTCTTTGTGGCCTCGTTTTTTTTGTTTTTTTGTTTTTGTTTTGTGCATCTTCCAACCCTTATAACTTCCAGAGGATTTMATATTTTTCTGTGAAACTTTCAGAGCTTATCTTTTGATAAGCATTGATATCTATCATCTGAGTGTTTTCTTTTGTCAACATAATAGAACGATTTCACATAAGCGTTTTTAACATGCAAATGAGTTTTTCGAGTATTTAACATGCAAATTAGTTGTCACCTGAGATAAGTTGTTACCTTGAAAACTTGAGTCGAATTGGAATGCATTGTATTTATTACGAACTTTGATACTGAATAAAATTCAAAATTGATAAACGATGTAACTCGTCCTTTGATAATACGTTTGGGCTACCTGTGGCTTAGGTGTCGACTAATTTGCATGTTAAATACTCGAATAACTCATTTGCATGTTAAAAACGCTTATGTGAAATCGTTCTAATGTCAATGAATTTAACAATAATATGCTAATTAGTGTGATTGCTTCGAAGCTTACCTTTAGCACTAGTGGAGATTATCAAATACTTGATCTGGGAAGAAATGGGATAAATGACAGCGCTATGCTACTAGGAAAACAAGAACTTAAAATTATTTGTTTAGTTTAGCTTTTAGAGTTTAATTTGTTTGTTTRTTATACCAGAGCGCATAGAACAGACTTGTATATGCGCTATACAAGTTTTCATTATTATTATTATTTATTATTATACTAAATAAATTTAATGCTTCTGACAGTGTTTCTATTATCAAATCAATATAGGTAATATTTGTTCTCAGTCTGACATTATAACATTAGTTAACTCCAATGAAGTAATACGAATGATACCGATTAATTTCGTTCGACCTTTTGGTCATGTATTGGTTGCCACGGTAAAAATAATGTGTATCTATGGTATTTGCTATAGTTGTCAATTAAGATGCGATAAATAGAGGATATTATATGAGCGCGCTGAGATACGGATTTTATCGGCTTCTTGCGTTTAAAAGATCATTCGCAAGTGAGCATAAAGAAACTAATTTAGTGAAAATAACAACTTTACGAAATGGAGAAATATAAGAATTTCGTAGATTATGATATGATAAAGCTTTAACCTGATATACTTGGAAAAATTTGTGCCATGTGACATTTTTTTCTGTACTTTTAATAGTTTTGAAAGTGTTTCGGTGAACCAAAAGATGTATACAAAGTTTTGAGCTAATTCGACTTCTCGTGCATTAATTATAAGTGTTGAATTTATTTAGAAAATTGATTCTGCATTTTGGGAGAGTTCGGTATTTTTTCATGTTTGTTAAAAGCCTAAAAAGATACTAAAAAAGAAGCTTACCACAAAATAATGACACAGCAAGAATTGGTGAAACTTTAACCGCATTTTGACTAAAATTGATGAATTGCTGTCATCCAGAGTTTACTTGAACTGATTATATGCTATAAAAGCTATAAAATATAAATGAAAATCCCAGGAACATCTGCTAAATTGTCAGCCTTCTTTGATATCGAAACATTTTACGTCAATTATCTTTTTTTATATTAGGAAATAGCATTTAGGAATAGGTGCCAAGGTGATAAATCAAGAAGCACTTCGGTATGTAGCATGATACTGTAGGCTGAAGTGCTTCTTGGCTGGAACAAATCCTTCATATATATACATATAGATACACCTAATTGAAAAGGTTTGTCATATAGAAACAATTCAAATTAATCATTTAGTAAAAAGACAAAAGAAGATCAGGGGTATCTTGACTTTCTAAATATATCCCTTTGTGCTATAAAATACAAATAATGTTCTATTTCTTTGAGACAACGTTTTTGAAAGAAAAAATCGACGACATATAATTGTTTAGCTAGGATATGGGGACCCTAGTTGAATTTCCTGTTACCTTCGGAAAGATTTCAGCAGAGTATCCTCTGATTCACGATGCATTGATGTACATAAAAATGCACCAACATAAAGGAATATATACAGTACACTGACACTGTGAACATAGGGTACCAAGTGAACGCACTTTCAAGAAATTGTCCTAATCTCTTTCTACTAATTTGTACACTCAAGTGAATGGTGTCCTAGAAAGTTCCTCCTCGTCGCAGATTTAGTGCAATGTTTTGGGCCATTTTGATTTTGATTTTGCAGTAGTTAATTTGGGTCAATTTTGTGCCATATTGTGTAGTGTTTTATCTATATAATGAGTTCTCTCTACCATTTTAAAGCTCTTAATGTATGTATACGTTTAGCTAACACGGTGTAAAAAAACTAAATCGACTTTTCCATTAAAGTTTTGTTCAGCTCTCAGTTTTTCTATTCCTAATGAATTTTTTATTGACATGGCATAGTAGTTTGAATRACAGTATTCTTGCCCTCATAGAATCAAAGAGATTCATCTGGCATTCATAGATCATCAAGCTTTTCAGTGATGATTGAAAATTTTTCCAACCGGTTCATAATAATAGAAGCCTTGTCGAGCTTGCGACTTCCCTTCCAATGACGTCACGTTGTTCATTTCGCAGGTACGGGTCATGTGATTGTAGTTGATTGACTTGCACAGCGAGTTCTTTTCGCAATAGCTCATGCACAAGTACAAATCATCAACTGAMGTTTCTTTGTAAATCACATGTCTTCTGGCGAGTGGCGGACTCTGCTGGACGTTTCCATAGAATAGCTCCTCCATCTTCCAAATGCCTCCTGAAAGAATAGAGCTGTTATCATATAGGCTGATGTGCACAGGTGAGTAATGAAAACTTACTAAATGTTCCTTTCGGATGTTAAAAAATGCAATGCAATGCAATACAATACAATAATTTTTATTAATTCCTCCCACCGGGCTTTTCAAGATTAATTTACAATAAGTATAATAAGATATTAATAAGATATTTACCAGTCTCGTAGACTGTATTGGTGTCTTTGGTACAGTTACATGTAAAAGGGTCTGCTTTGCCATATCGACCATAGCTAACTCCACATGTGCAACGGCTGTCATTTTGTACAGCGGCATATGCATATCCACTTGATTGACAAATCTTAAGACATCGGTTGGTGGTCGCTGTTGTTTCCAGACCCCATAAATCACGTGGAACACTTTCTTTATAACAACCCAGGAATTTGTTATACAAAGGAACTGCAAAAAGCAATGAGAAGGTGTTTTTTATATCTCAAGTATGCATTCAGGTTTTCTAAG